ATTAATATACTTCTAAAATGTATCTTTCTAAATCTTTTAATTTGTTTACCCAGTTGGTTGCTTCTCCTAGTGTCAATCCTCCTGATTTAACAAAGCTACTTACAATAGCATCTTTAACATCTGACACTGGCCATGTAGGTCCACACAAATAAAACCATCCTTCATCTTTCAATAGGTATTGGTGCAATAAATCTCCATCTTCCTCCATTTTGTGTTGGATATATATTTTGTGTTTTTGGTCACGTGAAAAAGCCAGTCGTAAATGTGTAAGCAGTCCTTCAACATGATATGCCTCCAATTCCTCACCATAAAGATACTCCATTGAACGATGACGTGAACCAAAATATAAAATCATTGGTCCAACTTCAATGCCTTGTGATTGACGATATGCTCTTTCCTCAATAAATGCTCTAAATGGTGCCATACCAGTTCCCAAACCTGCCATAATTACAGGTTGTGTATCTCTTGGTGGAAGCTTCATCACTGATGGTTTTATTGAAACAGTTAAACTTTCTCCAATCTTAAGCCTGGAAAGATAGCGTGTACATTGTCCATATCGTTTTTTACCAGCTGAATTAGCCCATTCTACTGTCACAACCAGTAGATGTACACTGTTTGGATGCACACTTTGTGCTGAAGCTATGGAATAATGGCGTGGCTTGATTGGTGCAATAAGTTGAATAAGTTCTTCAACTGGTGGTCTTGCAGATGTAAATTCATATAACAGTTCTGCATATGTTATTGTGTCTTCAACACGTCGTTTAAACTCATTACTTCCCTCACTACTAGAAATCCACAACAATTTATTTTTTTCATCTTCATCAGTAGCATACATGGCTAATGATTCATAAAATTTTTTTGTTGGTCTGCCAAATATGTCCAAAACTTGTGAAAATATTTGGAAAATAGTCTTGGTTTCATATTTGTCACCTTCTTTGTTTGGAACAGAGATAAAATCATTTGGATTTAATTTATAAAATTCCAAGAAATGATTAACTTCATATGTATCATTATGTCCATACACCCCAAGTGCTTCACCTAGTTCATATCGTAACCCTGTTCCAGATATATCAAATTCAATATGAAATAGGAAACGATCATATTCTAATGGAGTCAACCTTTTATTTTCAGTCACTTTAATAATATATGTTTTTTCCAAAATATCAGGTCTAACTTCCTCAACAGTTTTATATGCTTCTTTGAAAAGTAGATTGAAGGCTATAGAATGCCATGT